AAAATTCTGTTTGTTTCAAATTGGAAGTTTAAAATGGCAATAAAAACTCTTTATAAAATATGAAAAAATTAACTGTCTTGAATTATTTTGTCGGGCGGTACATTTATATTGTATAACGAAAAATAAAACGTTTTCACGAGGATTTTAAAATTCAGTCGGGCGGTGATGAGAATCAAGGAATTTATTTTTTGTTGGGCAGTTGGGACTTGGGAGCAGCTTGGGAGTGGCTAATTTTGAATATTTACTTAATTAATGCATCTATAAATAGCGTTGATGCTTCAGGGGCGGTAGTTCATTTACACCCAGTTTTGCGGCAGGCGGTATTTCCTACGTACCGCCTGCCATGCAGGCTAGTAAAGTGGTAAAATATTTGTTCAAGATTCGATCCAACCTCGTTCCCAGGGTATTTAGGAAATACCCTGGTATGGGCTGGTCACGTGCCTCGTCCAAAATTTAGCACCCGAGGGGGTGTGGGAAAAGTATCAAATTACATGATTCCAGTGGAGATATTTTGTTTAACAGTTAAAAACATTATTAAGTTCAAAATACTTGCTAATTTTTGTTTATTTTCTTTGCTTTGAATTTACAAGAACATTCTTACATTTTTACCAACAGTCAAGTCAAGAAACCAAGCAAATCGTTACTCACAGTGCTCTCTCGTGTTGTTATTCAATGCCGTCTCTTCACACTCGAGCGCGGTTTTATAACAAACGTTTATTATGAGCTTTCAGTCATCATTTCTACATATGTAATGTTTTTAAAATACGCCATTAGATTTGTCCTTTCTTGTAAATGTTTATATGCTTTGCACCGATTTAATTACTTGTTACTATACGTCTACGCGTCTTGTTTATAAGATTGAAAGAAACAGTATTGTATTGTCTGGGACTAGAGCCCAATATTAGCAAATGTAAACATTTGATACTAGCCAAACAGAGAAAGTCTGTCAGTGATTATAAAATTTTGGATTTAGTACATAGTATTCGGTGATTATAGTCAGGCTTTAGCCTTTTTCTTGGTCTTTATTAATCATAATATTTTCCTAATATACTAAATCTATATATTGTGAATTTACAGTGTCAGACGCGCACAGACTGTCATACGAATAAACTATATATAGTTATTACGTAATCATTTCACTTCGTATCATCGTATCACGCAAAAATATAGCTTACTCAGGCTTTTAGGTATTTCCTACGGCCTCCCTAAAACAGCCTGCCACGCAGGCTAAGGCTTTTATAATAGCGCGGTTATATATATATAGTTATTACGTAATCATTTCCACTTCGTATCATCGTATCATGATAACAAGTGATACCTTCAAAAGTGGACGGGTATTCTGCAATTTAGCCTATATTTATTTGATAGTGTCATAGTGATATATGCATTTACAAGCAATCCTGGATATGATAAAGACGATACAAGCTGTCCATTAAAAAATAACGGGATTCTATTCCACAAAGAAAAATATTTAAATCTCACTTGTATTATTAAGAATATATATAAAGCAAAAAATTTAAACTTGTGTGAGTTGTGTCAAAACGAAAGCTGTTTATAAAATTTATAAATGTTGTAAACACTATTACTAATATAAAGTGCCCATTGAAAGACATAATATAGTATATTGTCGTTTGACTTATCTTTGATGTATGATTTTAATACTGTAGATTTTCAACAGACAGCTAGACTTTAACATATACCATGATTGTTGAGTTTCAGCAATGCCAAGGGCCAATGCAGGAAGTTTTATAAAGCTTTTATAGTCAACAATCTGGATACAGTTGGCGTCTTGGCGATATTTCGGAAATCAAAAGATCTCGCTATTTCGTTGCAATTCCATGCCACATCTCATCAATAAATAAATTCTTTTGGTTCGAGTATCTAGATATACTTTCATAACAATTAAATAAATGAATAACCACATTGTTCGGTGTAGATATATATATTTTCTTGTACTGCTTTATTATATTGCCACGCCGTCCACGCGTGCTTTCTCAGTGACAAGTCTATAAGTTGAAATCTGATCCAATTTGCTTGAATTGTAACTCGACACTAGATTGTAGAGTAGAAAGTCACATCACGATAAATATTAATTTTTAATTGCAGTTCTTTTCACGAATAATCACGATTTCTTTGAAGATTCAATGGTTATTGTTTATATTCATAGAGCGATCTAATTAATTGTCACAATATATACTCACTCCCCCGACCCTAGTAAACAATATGCCATTTTACGCAAAATCCGCGGGTCACGTGACCAGCCCATACCAGGGTATTTCGCTTCCCAAGAGCAAATACCCTGGGTACGAGGTTGGATTCGATCGCGCGTGATTGATTTTTTGTACCACGTGATCAAATTTTTTTATACCACGTGATTATATTTTTACGTCCCAGAGTTTGTAAACAATTTTTAAAGTATGTTTAACAAGAAAGGGCGCTTTCATCATCGTGGGAAGTCTCTTTCTGGTGAATTAAAAGGTGAGATTATTGATTCTGTGTTAGAGGCTGGTGGAGATAGTACAACGGGATATTTTCCTGGGAAATGGGACCATATAGGAACAAAACACAAGGTATACGGTAAAACCGTTAAGGACTTAGTTATGGCAGACATTTGTCAGTACTGGCGGTGTTCAGGGCGAATCAAAACCAAAAGGCAACACGTGCAAGCTCGCGACCAGGGAGAATTGAATTTAATAGAGGCCATGAAGACCCAAAACCCGTCTGTATCGTATAAAGTTATAAAGGAAAACGTCCTTCTACACGGTAATCTTCCAACGGGCACTTCAACAACAGCTATAAGTCGGGCAGTCCGTTTATCAATGCTTCAAGGGAAAATGACCTGGAAGCGGTTAAGTCGGGCTAACGATAACAAGTTCACTGATGAAAATATTGACTGCTTTCAGGACTTCTTAGATTACATGAGTCAAGTGGACCCGTATCGTTTGAAATTTTTCGACGAGAGCGGTGTCGAATTGCAGGACTGCAATAAGCATTACGGACACTCAGTTATAAACACACCATGCGTTGAAGTTGGAAAATATCCACACTCACGAAATATCACCCTAAATTTATTAGTAGGACTCGAAGGAATTTTGCACGCTAATACCATCAATGGTTCTGCGGATACGTTCGATTTTCTCAATTTCTTTGACGAAGCGAGTAAAAACTTTCAAAGAAATGGCAATCCACTGAATCCAGTGTTAACAAACGGGGATATAATTGTCATGGATAACTGTGCGATCCACCACAACGCTGGAGGTTTTGCCCTTTGGCATTGGTTAGATACAATGGGTATTGATGTCGTATACTTACCAACATACTCTCCCGAACTTAATCCTGTAGAACTTGTTTTTAATAAACTAAAAATTGTGTTGAAGAGAGAGGAAATGCAGCCTGTTGTTCGTGTGAATTTGCACGCTTACTTATGGCACGCCGATTGTTGCAATATTCAATGTAATATGTTTGTTCAATTTAATCGAAATATTCATTCAATTTAATTGTCATATTTTCATTCAATTTAATATTTTTTTATATTTATTCAATTTAATATTAAAATATTCATTCAATTTAATTGTCATATTTTCATTCAATTTAATTTTTTTATATTTATTCAATTTAATATTAAAAAATTCATTCAATTTAATTGTCATATTTTCATTCAATTTAATATTAAAATATTCATTCAATTTAATATTAAAATATTCATTCAATTTAATTGTCATATTTTCATTCAATTTAATTTTTTTATATTTATTCAATTTAATATTAAAATATTCATTCAATTTAATTGTCATATTTTCATTCAATTTAATATTTAATATTTATTCAATTTAATATTAAAATATTCATTCAATTTAATATATTTTCATTCAATTTAATAAATATTTATTCAATTTTAAACTTTAACATATTGATTCAATTTAATAAATATTTATTCAATTTTAAACTTTAACATATTGATTCAATTTAATGTTTGTATATGCATTCAATTTAATTTCAATATCCATTCAATAAATCCTAAATGCATTCAATCTTTTCTTGCCGTAAGGAACCTGGGTACGAGGTTGACCATATATTAGTGATGGGCGATACCAGGATTTTTAATTCGATACCGATACCGATACTTTTAAGATCGGTATCGGCCGATACCGATACCTATTTCGATACCAAAATAAACACAAAATTTCAATTTTCGATACCGGAAGTGAGTACTTAAATTGCTAGTATCGGCTACTTTCGATACCTACCAGTCAGCGGAAAAACATTTTTCATTACTGTATGTAACCTAAATAAAGCTATAAGTAAACCAAAAGCCCGAAACGTAATAAATATTTTCTACACATGACTTGGCGCACCACATTTGGAATATTAACAGTACGTTATTTTAGTGATTCATTAAGTCTTATTCAACCAAGAAGTGAAATTAAACATGTCGTTTAAAAAAGGGTGCAAGTATCGAACGATACCACGTCAATAATCGATACCGATACCGCTGTTTGTGGTATCGCTGGTATCGAATACCTAGTACTCGGTATCGCCCATCACTACCATATACATATATGTCAATTTCCCGCGCTTTTGCATCCCGCCATGTTTGGTTCGCGTATGCGAATGTTTTAGAGCGACAACAGTGTGTTCAAGGTATTTTAAAACAGATTTAACGATGGACAAAAGAATATCAGATGCGGCAGAACTGCTGCGACAGGCTTCGAGTATGTTACTGTCAGTAGATCCAGGAACTTCTCCAGCTTTAGTGCGAAGCCCAGAGGCAGAGTCTGAACGTCCGACAGTAAGACCACAGGGAAGATCAGTAAACGAGACCCTTGCAAGAGCAAGGAGTATGATGCAAAGCAGTAGAACCACTGGAGTGTTTAGGCGGCTTAGCAGCAGCGAAAGATTGAGAGCAACTTCAGGACCAAAGGAAAAGAAAAGCAAAACGACTTCTTCGACTGGTAGTAAAGATAAACCTTTCGAATTTGCCCTGCTTGCTTGTGGAGATGTCGACAGTGATGAACCAGATGACAGCTTGAAGAAGGACATGATTCTGGATCGAGGTATTGTGAGTCTTAATGAAAAAGATAACGAAGCTGCTATTCGAGAAAAACTTCTTTCATCGCTTAAAGGCAAGTATGGCATGATTGGTCAAAATGATTTTGAATTTATAAAAGTAAATCAGAAAAAAATCTCGGTTCTACATTTAAGTAAAGGAACAGAGTATAATTACGACGTTGTCAAGAAACTTGTAGGACAAGGGCTTTTGTACGTTAGAATTAGAAGGGGATATGAATTTGTAATTGAACAAACTTCAGATTCTGGATCAGACTTTGTAATGACATATCCTGCTGCTGAGAATGATGCTAAAACTGAAGCACATCTTTCAGAAGACGAGAACATGCCCCAGTCAGGACTAGCAGATGAATTACCTGTGGCTGCACAGCCACCCATCTCAGTAGATCTATCTCAGCAGCCTGGTTCAAGCACAAATGTAGAAAGTCCTCACACGTTCTTTGACATGGTTGTAAACGAGTTTCCATCAAATATAACTGAACCAACAGAAATCCTTAGATATCTACAAATGAAAATTGTTAGAGGTAGACCATTGGAGGTAACTGATCCTTCCACAGACCTTCAAGGAGAAACAAACTTCATAACTGTAGACAGAGAGAACATTCTTCAAACTACTTTTGAGGAACTAAAGTCTGTTGATGATCCCAGAGTAACATTCGAGGTCCAGTTTTATGCGGAACAAGCTGTTGACAGTGGTGGTCCACGTAGAGAGTGGATGCGACTTTGCAATCAACAAATCAAGATCAAGTATTTTGATAATGGTATTAAAGAGCATTTGTCGGAAGATTACTTCTATGTTGGAAGATTACTTCTATGTTGGACAAATGATTAGCATTGCTCTTCTACAAAATGGCCAGTTGCCTGTCTACATCCCTGAAGATATTTTACAGGCCATATTTGTGGGGAAATGTGAGCAGTTGTCTCCTTGCATCATGGAGCTAAAACGTGGTATGGATACATTGGGGATTCCAGCATTTGGAAGAAAATTTCCCCAGTTGTTGTACCTTCTCAGGCCATCAGCCATTGCCAAGTTATCAGTTCGCAGGCTTCTATTTCTGCTGAAACCAGCATTTTCTGAGGAAGGGTCCAACGCTCTGTCTCGTGAGAAAGCTGTGTATACAAAATTTGTAAAATACACAAGGGAGGTGTCCAGTGGCCGAAGGGTTGTTACTCTGGAAAACATTCTAGAATTTGCCACTGGAGCTAGTGAAGAACCACCCCTTGGTTTTACAAGATCCCCCAACATCCAGTTCATAGAAGTTGACAACAAAGAGTTGACTACAACAGAAAATGAGGTAAGCATTTTATTATTTGTATTTTCACCATTTAGTTGTCATATTGTTATACTAAATTGCTATTTTACAATTAACCAAATATTCACCGAAGGCGAGGTGATTACAAGCCTATATTCACTGAGCTGCGAAGTGAATATAGTCTTGTGATCACCAAGCCTGAGGTGACTAATTGTTTTAGTATAAATTCAGTATTGAAACATAATAATATATACAGACGTTTAGAAATAAGATTTACTTCACCTTTAATTTCTTCAATTCTTTCTTCCATGATTTGTTTGCAAACTGTGCATTTTCGACAGCCATTTTGTTTTGAAAGCAATAGTTTACTGCTCAGAGCAGTCTGAGCAGCAATCAGAATGCTTGAAAGCCATTTTTCAATACTGAATTTATACTAATAACATTTAGCATTTCCCAATCAAGCAGGGTACTGATTCAAATTGATATTACAAAGCATCCATGTATTGTTGGGAAGGATGATCACAGATCATTTACATTGCTGTATTTTCAAACATACTGTACCATAGAGGTAAAATGCTTTGCAGTCTCAATTGCAACCAGGATCCTTTAATCAATCTCAATACATTACATTGTTAGTAAAATAATCTAATGTATTAGAGGCAAATTCAAGATTCCCTACTATAGAATTCCCTGCTCAATTGGAAAAATTCTGATACCATAGAGACACAAGGTCATATGAATATTATAGGAAGATTTCTTGGCAGGTACAACAGGCTTGTATATGGCAGAGAAGGGCTCATGATCTGATGTTTTTTTCTGTATTCAACAAACTAATATATCTAATTAACCAGGAAGAATAGTTGGGGATAATGTGTGGATTCTACAGTAGGTCTCCAAGGTAGTCCCAAACTTGCAAGTAGAAACATGGCTTTAATTAACAGCTTTTGATCCTATATAGACCTTTAACACCCACATTTGAATTTATGGTTTAAAGAATATATGAATGTTCTTTGCTTTATAGAGCAACCAAGTGTCAGAAGAAGTACAGCAACTTAATGAAAAGAAGAAAATGTGGTATTTCACACCAACAGCCCATACATGTCCAAACACATTGCAATTGCCAACAGAAAGCATGGTTCTTCCTCTTTCCTCTGAAGAAGACCTGTTCCAATTGTATGATATGGCATTCAAGAGCACTCACTTTGGTATTAGATAGAGCTGAAAAACAAAGCATTCAATATGTTTTTCAAGTTTAGGAGAAAATACTAATCATCTTTATTAGCAATGATATTGGAGTTATCTCTATTCATAACAAAAACATGTTTCAGTTTTTAAGAAACAGGGGAACAAAGACCAGTACAGTAGTGTTACGGTAGCTTGCATGTGATGGGATAATGATAGTCTTTACGACATGTTGTGTTACTTTAAATTGTTTTTGTTAGAAAGTTCATTTAGTACTGTGATTGTTAATTTTACTGAATGTTCAAATTTCTTCGCTTGAATGTTCCAAAACACAATTTTGAAGTTTTCCTGAACATGTTTAACTTTATCTGGGATAATATGTTAAATCCACACACACACATTCCCCTCGCCCTTTGTCACACTCAAACTTTAGTTTGGTGTAAAGAGGACATATTGTATCAATGCGAGGCTTGATGGTGAAGACAGTGCAAGGGAAAACCCACACTGGTCATACAGTGTTACTGTAGGCAAATTTTCTCCAACTGGAGCAGGCACACTTTTTATTGGACTTCTAATTAAATATTTCAAGGTCTGTATGTTACCCAGTGCTGGTAATTTTGTATCTAAACTCCGCTGACAAATTAAGCCTGCAGAAGTGTGAGAAAATTTGCTAAAAATGACCATTGGGCACCATTAGGCAGCGTCGCAAATATTTAGACATAAAAGTATATGCTATTTACTCAATTTTACACCACCTTCCTTTGTAATACTGTAATTCATGTTATAACCAAATTCTCTTAAGTTTGGTTTCCATTAAATCGCAATAGTCGCGGAACGCAGACATCGTTATCGCAAAAATCAATCTTTGCGCCTTTGTCATATAAGAGTCTTACAGTAGTTAGGAAAAAAAAATGTGGGTTTCCGGTTTCCCGACCCTACCTAGCTTTTGGACGTCGAAATCCCGACCCTAAATTTTTTTATTGGATCATGCTTGTAAGTGTTTCCACTTAGAGGAAAAAGTTTGTGGAAAATTGAAATTTGAGGCAATATTAGGGAAATTTATCTTTAGATGTGGAAGCACTGACTAAGCAAAATGGTGTCCGCCTGTTCGGAAAATTAAAAAAAAAGTTTAAAAAAAAAGTTAAAACCGACCTACCCTACCTAAGTTTTTATAAGAAGAAACCGGAAACCCACATATTTTTTTTTTGGCCTTATCGGCGTAACTCAAGTTTCCAATAAATCGCAGTTTTTATTAAAAATTTCGCGTTTTTAAAATCGTTGCGATGCGGTTTTTGTGATAATTACGATTTAATCAAAAAATTAAATAAATAAATTAAATGGAAACCAGGCTTTAGTGAGAAAAGCTCAAAAACAATTAGATGTGAGTCAGTATCTTCTCATGTATCAAAATGTTCATTAAGAGTTTGTTATTTCATCAATCTTTAGTACTACCAGTTCTAAGGCTTCAGTATAAATGTCTACCCCCATTTCATGAGATTGTTGCAACGGATCGATTGTTTCAAGAATAAATTATGTTAGCAAGTTATCATGCGGCAGGTGGACTGCTTCAACAATTACATTGTTGTCACTTCCAACTGAAGATGGTCCATGGGGGTCATGTCCATACATTTCCAAATCATATGGCTCTTCATCTAGCTCTGC